GCCGGTCCCGTAGCAATCCTCGCCCCCATCCCCGGTCCCTGCGGCGGCCTGGGCTTCGCCCTCTGCCCCACCCCCGGCCCTGCGCGCACCCGTCCTGCGTTCTGGGCACCCGAGCTTTTGTAGCCCTGCGCGCCGCCCGCGCAGCCACCTGTCCTCCCCACGGAGGGTGCTGCGGTGACACCCGCGCGCCCTTCCCAGACCGAGTTGGCGGGTCCGCCCCCTGGGCGGTGGAGGCACCGGGCCGGCGCGCTACAGGTGTGCGGGCGTCGGCGGGCGCGTGAGGCGCTCGTGGGCGCCGGTGAAGGGCCGGGCGGGGTCTCGGCCCCCGCGTGCGGGGTTCCGTCCCTGCGGCGGAGCGGGCGGCCGCGGGCCCAGCGAGGGCCGTCCACGGGAGCGCCTCCTGCTGCGCTCCCCGTGCGCCTCCAGCCCTCTGGTCCGTTTTGGGTGGGAAGACCGGCGATTTACAGGACTGAGGCGCTGGAGCAGAATCCCCCGTGCTCTGGAGGCGGAGTCTGTTGGATGCCATCCTTTGGGCTGCTGTTTCCTGTGCTGCTGGCAGGGGTTGGGAAGCAGGCTTGGCCTTGGAAATCCGCCTTATTTTTACCTTCTCATGATGCACGAGAACACTTTACAGCTGTGTATGTCAATTTTATGTATTTATTTACCCCTTCCCTCTTCTAACTTGTCACAAATTCAGACAGTCTCGGTTTGAGGTGACAAATTCTGGTTTATACAGTTGCCTAATTTGAGGAGAAAAAAGTCAACATATACACACACACACAGACACACACATAGTGGAATTTGATACGACATATTTAGTTTATTTTTATATTTTTAGTGAAGCTAAGATAAACAGAGAAGTGAAAAATATCAGCATACAGCTTGAAGCATTTTGAACACCCCTGTGTAATCCTGAATCCAGATTGAGAACCGGCCTGAGAAACTGCTGGCAGGGAGTTTTGGGGTCTGGCTGCACAATCTAAATTCTTATCCTGGCCATGGTGTAAGCTCCCTTGTTTGGCTGTATATTTTTGGGACTGTTCTGGAGTTGAATAGGACTTTCACGAAAAGTAGGGGTTTTAGGGCCCCTCCCCCACTTGTGTGGCTCCCTTTTGCCCAAATAGGAGTGGGGAAATACAGGGGGCCAGGACTCATGCTGTAACTGCTGCTTCCCTCGGTGAGTGTACCTGCCTTTTCCTACCAGTTTTGCCCTCACCTCTGTGGCTCACTCCTGGAGATAAAAACTTTAGTTTTTCCCTCTTGAGAACAGGGTTTGGGCAGAAGGTGGGAGCCAATCACCAGTCTTGTATATGAAGATAGAATTCAGTTGTCTGGTTGTCCTTAGTCTTTTCTGACCTTTGTCATTGCTGTCCAGCCAAAGACACCAGGAACACACCTGTAGTTGGACGAATTGGGTTTATTGTATGTTGCAGTGAGAGAGAATGCATACCATGGGGAACTGTGGGGTGTCTTAGTAAAAGAGTATTAGAAATGAACTTTTAAAAATAGGTTTGAGCTTGTGCTAGGTTTGGGAAGAGTTTAAGGAAGTGGGGCTTTGATCTGTATTGAATATTGTTACTAAAAAGATAATTCTGTGATTGACCATCTTATTCTTATCTAAAGGAAAGAAGACCAAGTGAGCTAAAACAGTAACCGGTAAAGAAGCAACAAGTCACTCCTGTTGGCTTGGGTAGGGAGACGTTTGGCCATGCTGTGGTTTGGGCAGTGTTCGTGTTTTTGCCTTTGTTCAGGGATGATCACAGAGTGGTCTTTATTATTTATCCACCGTGGCCACAGGGAGTTTCTCCGACGTTCTCTGAAGTTGTTTCTTTTAAATGGGAGCATCATTAAGACCTGGGTGACAATGCTGCCAGCCCCAGCGTGCGGCAACACTAAGGCCTAGCTGATAGTAGCGGGCCAGCTCCCAGATGTCTCAGCTGCTTTTCTCTCTTTCTCATCGTGGTTATAAGGTCTTGCAGTAGAATGGCTGGTGCATTCTTTTTTTTTTAAATAATAAATTGTATTTATTTAAATGTGAATATTCATTACCTTCTTTGGATTTTTCTTTTTTTTTACTAATTTTTATTAAGGTATGATTGATATACTCTTATGAAGGTTTCACATGAAAAACAACGTGGTTACTACATTTACCCATATTATCAAGTCCCCACCCATAACCCAATGCAGTCACGTCCATCAGTGTAGTAAGATGCCACAGATCCACTATGTGCCTTCTCTGTGCTACACTGTTCTCCCCGTGATCCCCACACTGTGTGAACCAAACATAATACCCCTCAGTCCCCTTCTCCCTCCCTCCCCACCCGCCCTCCCACACCCTCCTCTTTGGTAACCAATTGTTCATTCTTGGAGTCTCCGAGTCTGCTGCTATTTTATTCCTTCAGTTTTGCTTCATTGTTATACTCCACAAATGAGGAAAATCATTTGGCATTTGTCTTTCTCCGCCTGGCTTATTTCACTGAGCATAATGTCCTCCAGCTCCATCCATGTGGTTGCAAATGGTAGAATCTGTTTCTTTCTTACTGCCGAATAGTATTCCATTGTGTGTATGTATCACATCTTCTTTATCCATTCATCTACTTAGGTTGCATCCATATCTTGGCTATTGTAAATGGTGCTGCGATAAACATAGGGGTGCATATGTCTTTTTCAAACTGGGCTGCTGCATTCTTAGGGTAAATTCCTAAGAGTGGAATTCCTGGGTCAAATGGTATTTCTATTTCTTTGTTTATTTTTTTGAGGAACCTCCATATTGCTTTCCACAATGGTTGAACTAGTTTACATTCCCACCAGCAGTGTAGGAGGGTTCCCCTTTCTCTGCATTGTTCTTAGTCTTTTTGATGCTGGCCATCCTTACTGGTGTGAGGTGATATCTCATTGTGGTTTTAATTTGCATTTCCCTGATGATTAGTGATGTGGAGCATCTTTTCATGTGTCTGTTGGACATTTGAATTTCTTCTTTGGAGAACTGTCTCTTCATATCCTCTGCCCATTTGTTAATCAGGTTATTTGCTTTTTGGGTGTTGAGGCGTATAAGCTCTTTATATATTTTGGATGTTAACCCCTTGTCGGATATGCCATTTACAAATATATTCTCCCATACTGTATGATTTCTTTCTGTTCTGTTGATGGTGTCCTTTGCTGTACAGAAACTTTTTAGTTTGATACAGTCCCATGAGTTCATTTTTGCTTTTGTTTCCCTTGCTCAAGGAGATGCATTCAGGAAGAAGTTGCTCATGCTTATATTCAGGAGATGTTTGCCTGTGTTGTCTTCTAAGAGTTTTATGGTTTCCTGACTTCCATTTCGAGTTTACTTTTCTGTATGGGGTTAAACAATAATCCAGTTTCATTCTCTTGCATGTAGCTGTGCAGTTTTGCCAACACCAGCGGTTGAAGAGGCTGTCATTTCCCCATTGTATATCCATTCCTCCCTTATTGTATATTAATTGATTGACCATATATGGTTGGGTTTATATCAGGGCTCTCTAGTCTGTTCCATTGGTCTATGGGTCTGTTCTTGTGCCAGTACCAAATTGTCTTGATTACTGTGGCTTTGTAGTAGAGCTTGAAGTTGGGGAGTGTAATACCGCCAGCTTTATTCTTCCTTCTCAGAATTGCTTTAGCTATTTGAGGTCTTTTTTGGTTCCATATGAATTTTAGAACGATTTTCTCCAGATCATTGAAGAATGTTGGTATTTTGATAGGGATTGCATTGAATCTATAGATTGCTTTAGGCAGGATGGACATTTTGACAATATTAATTCTTCCTATCCATGAGCACAGGATGTATTTCCATTTATTGGTATCTTCTTTAATTTCTCTTAAGAGTGTCTTGTTTTCAGGGTGTAGGTCTTTCACTTCCTTAGTTAGGTTTATTCCTAGGTATTTTATTCTTTTTGATGCAGTTGTGAATGGAATTGTTTTCCTGATTTCTCTTTCTGCTAGTTCATTGTTAGTGTATAGGAATGTCATAGTGTATAGATTTCTGTGTATTAACTTTGTATCCTGCAACTTTGCTGAATTCAGATATTAGATGTAGTTCTTTAGGGGTGGATTCTTTAGGGTTTTTTATGTACAATATCATGTCATCTGCAAACAGGGACAGTTTGACTTCTTCCTTACCAATCTGGATGCCTTTTATTTCTTTGTGTTGTCTGATTGCCGTGGCTAGGACCTTCAGTACTATGTTGAATAAAAGTGGGGAAAGTGGGTATCCTTGTCTTGTTCCTGATCTTAAAGGAAAAGCTTTCAGCTTCTCGCTGTTCAGTATGATGTTGGCTGTGGGTTTGTCATATATGGGCTTTATTATGTTGAAGTACTTGCCCTCTGTACCCATTTTGTTGAGAATTTTTATCGTGAATGGATGTTGAACTTTGTCAAATGTTTTTTCATTGTCTATGGAGATGATCATGTGGTTTTTGTCCTTTTTGTTGATGTGGTGGATGATGTTGATGGATTTTTGAATGTTGTACCATCCTTGCATCCCTGGAATAAATCCACTTGATCATGATGGATGATCTTTTTGATGTATTTTTGGATTCGGTTTGCTAATATTATGTTGAGTATTTTTGTATCTATGTTCATCAGGGATCTTGGTCTGTAATTTCATTTTTTGTGGTGTCTTTGCCTGGTTTTGGTATTAGAGTGATGCTGGCCTC